TAATTTAGCATCTTCGAAACGGAGGTTGATCGATTGGACAAGTGGTTGCTTAGGGAGGACGAATGTTTGCGAGGTCTGTTTGGATTCAATTAGCAAGGAAATCGAGAACTTTCGAATGCTGCAATTCTTCTTTTGCGAACAGCTTATAACAGCTTATAACAGATATTTCCTGATCTTTTTGATTCTACGGGATGGTTTGAAACGACAGCGTCGAGAAAATGATTGTGGTTAGTATCTACTTGTTACAAAAGTTTCGTGGACCTTAGATTATCAAAACTTTCACCCAAGAAGATGAGTACTTGTAAATTATAGGCGACAGTGGACCCACCATTTTGTGTCAGCGTATCGAGTCGAATCTCCAGTGAAACTTGATACGAGATTACACCTTCGATCCAAGCTAGACTTCTCTATCTTCGAATCTAAAGAATCTTCCATAAATTATAGGAAATTACTGTTAACCCTTCGAATACATTAAATCTCAATTATACACGTAACGATACGATAGGTTTTGTTTGATTTATTATCAAGCTGGTAAAGGTGTGATCCAAGGATCGATAGATCTTACATTTTCCACGCGTATTTCTTCGAATAACCCAACTTCGCCGAAGAATCGCTGAAAGATTATCAGATAAGGAGCATAATAAATCGCATTGTAGCGATTTCATCAATCTCAATCTGACAAGAAGGAACAATTCCACATCTGTCTATCGAAAAACCTAATTCTCAGGACCTGAGAAGGGTGAAAAAAAAAAGAAGGTGTGCGAGCAAAATTGATCGACGAAATACGATAACGAGAGAGGAACAATTGACTCGAGTTGATAAAAATCGCCGGTGGTAATTGCACCGTTCAAACTCGTATTTGTAATCGTCGATAAATCTTTCACTCGGCTGCCACGTGAGAGGGAACTCGCAGCAATTAAGGAGAATCTATTTACTTTTCCTGGTTCCGGCAGGTTACCGGATCAAGGCCACGCAAAGGTTGTTCCACTTTATCTGAGAAGAGAGCCGGCAGAGGCGGCCAGCCGAGCAGTCAGTCACCTTTTTCTCTACGAAAACACCAAGTCCTCTTTAAAGATCCTCTCGGTGAACTCGAGTCGACGACGGTGACGTTGAAATGCCATTGAAATGTAAGTATCGAGTGTGACGACGTTTGTGATAAAATGTGATTTAACTCCTTGTCAAGTATCGTACTTTTTAAATTGATCGAGTGTTTCTTGTTATTTAATAGAAATCATGGAACTTTCGCAGAAACTACTGTGCTATTTAATTTATTAGATAACAAGTGTTTGTTATCTAATCAATTTTATGGCGCAGTAGTTTTTGTGAAATGTAATTTGCCGTTCAGAAATTAATTTGCCGTAAGTAATTAAATTTGAAATTAAATGGTTGAATGCTTGTTGTTGAATTTGATAGGACAGTAGTCTTGTGAAAATATGATTAACCATTCCGAAGAGAGCACCACTTACATGAAAATTTGAATATCTAGGGTACGTAAGAGAAGAACCAGTACTTTGCTGGCTCATTTGTATAATGCCTGTAATTATGTCGCTTTAACGAAAGTTTCTCGTGATTATGAGTGTAGGGGACACGTTGTTGTCGCCGATTCTCGAAAAATTGGTGAAAGTAGAATCGTCTCGTTTATCCTCGTGAATTAAAAATGCAAAAATATTCAAGCTACATTATTTCTACATTTTCCAATAAAAATATCATCGAACACAAAGAGAATTCTCGTTTCTTACCGCTGTAACTAGCAATAATCCTCGCGCCATCATTGCTCCCTCTTGTGATCTCTCATGAAAATCTTCTTACTTCCTCTCGATACACAAATTCACACTCACTATCACCATCAACTCTTCCAACCCTCGACTAAAAATTCCTCGATCTCTAATGCTTCCAACGAATCACTGTTCATCAAAATAAAAGTCTCGTCGATCCCCTAAAAATCTTCGATTCCCTTTAATTCTCCGGTTGAAAAATACGTCCGCAAATCCCCCAAATTGTTGAATTCCTCGATCTCTAATGCTTCCAACGAATCACTGTTCATCAAAATAAAAGTCTCGTCGATCCCCAAAAATCTTCGATTCCCTTTAATTCTCCGGTTGAAAAATACGTCCGCAAATCCCCCAAATTGTTGAATTCCGATACAATCTCCGAATGAGAAATTAAACGTTACCCGAGTATGGCTAGATCGAAGTTCTCGTCGGCTCTAAGTTCGCGTCTGTGAACAATTGGACGTTGGATGCTCGGCGTTCAGTCGTCGAAGACGAAAAATTCAGCGCTCGCGTGGAGGTGCACACCGACCTCTGGTTCGAAACGGCGCGGAGTGCGTACGGTCCTCGTCTTCATCAGGTGGAAGGAGACGGCGAAGAAGAAGAAGAAGAATCGAGCCCGCGATGCCTGGCGGGTCTCACGTGGGGATAATGTAGGAACGAGCGTGCTTCGTCCTGCGTGTTCCCCCTTCGTCGAGCCGTGACCGAGAAAACCGGACGGCCGGATAAGCGTGTCGTATTCGAGAGGAGGAAGAAGTCGGCCACTCGACCTCCTCCTTCTTCCTCTTCGCGTATATACACAGCTTTACCTCGCGGGGAGCATCTGGCCGAGCGGTGGGTCCATCGCGTCACCCTTAATGCGACAACACGTCACGTTTTCTCCTTGTGCTTTTTCGTACCCCTTCCTCTTTCGCTTGCTTTGCATATTTCCAGTTCCTTGGAAATCGCTGGTGTGATCTTTGTGCAATTGAAAATCGCGAAATAGTGAGAGTACGATATGTGAAAATCTTAGCGATTCTACGGTTTCCTGTGGATTCATTCTTTTGCTTGATATTGTCACATAGTGAATATAGTGTTTTCTACATTCTGATATCTTATAATTGCACAAATATCCACAGTCTAATGATCAATTTTCAACGATTTGAACGTTGACAGTGATTACATAGTTTATGAAGATGAAGATGGTCCTTTTTTATTTCCTTCTTTCCTTTCTTATCCAGTGATTCATTGGAACGTCGCAGTGAAGTGCCGATTACCTCGAAATCATACTTACCTTAGCACCTAATGGTAGCGATGTTGAAAATAAAAAGTAGCGGTGAATGAGTTCATGACAAAACGAGCGATGCGAACATGAATTTCCAAGGCTTCTTCGGCCTCTTACTCACAAAGTAAGTTAATTTAGATAAAAAGCTCGGTAATCCTATAAAATTAGAGAGCGCAAAAGTTCGAGCGAAGACGACACAGAATGTAGAAATGTTAAAAAAAAAATTCTATTTCTCGTAAACGGAATGTCGTATAATTGAAACGTCTACGAGCAACTATTTCACAAGCATACACGAAACTATCGAGAAAAATAAACGGTCACTAATTCTTCTAACCAGTAAAATCCTCGGATCGTGGTAAATTGAACGAAAGAATTGGGAACGTTCCCTAATAACACCTTTCACGATTAAATTCCCGATGAAAAGTGACGCGTTACACGTCTAAGTGACGCGCGATGTTTTCTCCCTGATTGCCGCTGTCACTGTGCACGTGTATACTTTCGACAGAAACCCCGAATGACAACCACAATTCCGATTTATCTCGTTCTCCGCGTGAATTCGAACGGTAAAAGCCGCGGGGCAAATTAGTTGAACGCGAAAGAATATAAATCTTCGTTCCTCTAAACTTGTTACAAAATAAGGAAAGAAAAATCGAGGTTCTCGTTAAAACGATAGATCATCGTGGAAGATTGTGATCCGAGGAACAGATGCTTGACGCTGCGTTTTCTCTACCATTCCGTTGACAACATCTTAGATGAAAAGGGCTCGAGATAACATCTTTATCTCCAAGTACCAACACAGAAGATGACGCTAATACGAAACTTAAATCGAAACGCCGAATGTCGCGTCGAGAAAGTTACACTATTCTAGAAAGTCAAGTGTAATAGCTTAATCAACGTCGCTAACGTAATAAACAGTGAATAATTTAACATTCAATTTATAACGCACAAACGACGACAGTTTGAAAATAGTCCTACTTTCTACTCCATAATTTATCCATCTAATCAAATTTTCTACAATCTTCTCCTTCGAGTATCACGAATCAATAATAAACAAACTCGAACAAGTTGAAATATGAAATTCCCAGATTCGTTAATATCGCACGTAACAGTGCTCATAAACCGCGTGTACTCGATCGGAGAACTCTTCCAATACCAGCAATAATCATTTAGGAAGGCTTGTTAACGCCAGAAGACGCTATTAGCAGGAAAGTTGTGAATCGTAGACGCGAAACAGGCGAACAATGTCGTAAATTGCGTCGATTAAAAGGCGCACGCTATAAACTTTCATTTCAGATTCGTTTTGCCCACGTTTCTAATGGCGTTCGAGGAGCGCCTGACGAATCGAAGGGTGAAAGCGAGCAAGCTGTACCGCGTCGAATTGCCGCGGCTTTTCGAGTTCAATCTGCAATCAGCGTTTGTCACTCTCGGCGCAAGCCTCTCTTCGTGGTGAATTTCCAAAGGCGTTCGGTATCGTCGTAGGAAGCCGGTAATTGGTGACGTTTCGCGTGGAAACGAGCAGTCGTCGGGGCATTTAACGCGACGTTCCGATGCCACGGAATTGCGAATAGAAGAGCGTGATCAAGTCGCGGCGAGGCAACTGGTTTTCGGTATATTGAGGAGTGAAAGAGGATACGCAGGTTCTTGGACGCTCTTATCACTGTTTATAGGCTTCTTAGCGGCTGTAACGTTTCGATTGCGAGGTATATTGGTAGGTGGTGAGGTTCGATAGGGGTGTGATTTAGGAAATGGGAGATAAATCTACTCCTACCGTCGGTTGAGGAAAGTTGGAGCTGGAATTCTGCTTCTCCAAGTGTCTATGGTCGTAGAGTTAAGGTACGGTGAGTTGGTCTTGTTTATATGCCAAGATAGAATTGTATTTTTGAAACTTCTTTGGGGTCTGTTATCGTGTCTCTGTTATGCAGAGCGGGGTTGTAATTTTAACGATGAGTTTGCGTAAATTAGGCCTGGAATCTGAAAGTGGTTCAGATACTTTAAAACGACAGTCTTCGATGTTTAAACTACTTTTCAACTACTCTATGTACAACAAATTCTATTTCCTCGAAAACTATGCTTCGTATAATTAACCTTCGATATTTAAGCTCTTGCAGAACGATTAATTTATGTTCTCCTTTAAAAATTATTTGTGAAATTTATCAATAAAAGACGTATTCATGATTTCTAGATTGAAAACAAAAAATTCTGCTCTATGAACAAACAATTTTTAAATTCATAAATTAGTGTTGGCTAAACAAGTTGCCCATTACTGCTTTATTATTATTAATTTCCCTAAGAAAAAACAAACCCTGTACAAAATCCTCCCAATCATTTTCAATTTACATTCTCCTACAAAAATGAATCACGACTTTTGTCGACAAAAAGTGTATTCACTGTCGTCTATGTCGAAAAAAAATTCTACTCTAAAATAAACAATTTTCAAATTAATAAATTAAAAGTTACTGTCTAAAAACCACGCCATATATTCCCTTCCTGACGAACTCCCCACAGAATCCCCCAAAACTTTCTTTTTTCAAAAGCACCGCCCAAAAGTGTCACCAAAAAGCCAACTCAAACGAGTGATAAATCCACAAGAGTCCCCTGACGATGCCTCTAATTTCGCTCGATAAATTTCTCGCGGCGAAACTGCCACGCGTAAAGTGTCACGGTTCTGCGATGCTGCGGGCGCCGTTTCCATTGTCCGCCACGGCGAATCTGCATTCCGAAACGGCGCGTGCAACGAGGTTCGGCCCGCATAAAGATCAACGGGACGCGGCCGTGAGGTGTTCCCTGCTTTAACGACACCACACTGTGTGCCTCTGTGTGTGTGTGTCGTACAGCGGGGATATTTAAAGCAAACTGTAGAAATGGAAATAAACGACTGGTCGAATCGATCGCGGAACGATGCGCGGCTCACTTAACCCGATAAAGAGAATGGTTATTGCCAGCGCGCGTGGACCAACGCGCGCCTCTGCTTCGCGTTTCAGCGTAGGACTTGCGTGGAACAAGTACCGTCTGAACTAAAGCCAGAGGACGAAGAGAGAGAGAGAGAGAGAGAGAGAGAAAAAGGAAACGAACATCGTAACCGTTCGTTCTTGATTTACGCATTCGTGGCGGTTGAAACCGCGCGACCAAGCGACCGGACGATGTTAACGAGCCTTTCGATCGCGTTCGAGAGGAGATTTAGAGTGCAGACCTTACCGCGGTGTACCTCGTAAAATTTGTCAACAAGTGCGCCAGAGTTTAGAGGTGGATTAGTGGATTTAGGTGGACAACGGCTTGGCAAGGTTTGCTTGCTGTTTCTGGAGTTTCGAGTCTCTCTCTGCAAAGTTTCCTCAGGTGTTACAGAGTTTAGTTCATCTGTGAGTTTGAAGAGGTGTTACTAGTTCCTCTACAAGTGAATTACCGAACGTCTGTAATTAGATTTGTGCGTTTTTGCGCCGAAGATAGCGGAGGGAAACTTCCACCGGCTGTTAGGAACCTATTTGAGCGCCTCGTAGCAATGTAATTTGCACGCTGGACGAAATTGCTCGTTTCCTTCGTTCAGTTCTTTCGTGGGAATGAATTAAACTCTGTCTCGCTCTTTTCGCCTTTTTTAGTAATTCTTTCAGCTGAATGTTTCAAGTATTTTTTAATTTATGCCACATTTCCTGCGAAGGATACTGAAGCTAGGAATATTGTTAGAATGTTCGTGAACCGGAAGTCATCTTCTTCTGTTTTCTAAGCGAGGCGAGACTTTCGGTGA